TGAAGTAGATGCTGTCGAAGCAGAGAGCAGTTGCGTAATAAGAGAATCGTATGAACCACAAGTAGTCAATGACTCAACGCATTGAAAATGTAAAGCACGCATTGACCAAGGGATGGCCAACAATGAATACAAATAAGCACAAAAGCCCATAGGGGTGATGAGGCAATGGCAGAGACTTCCTGTCCTTTTACATAATTATATTCGGAGGAAACCTGACAACACGGCTCGATCCTTGAGATATTTTCTGCAGAAGGCGTCCCGGATCCTCCAGTCGCTCGAGCAAGGATGGCAGAGGCGGCGGGAATCGACCATTGGTCGCTTGGCATGGCCACTTTTGATAAATGGTACAAAGCGGGCATGCAATATTCGGCCGAAGGTCTAGCAAGCTCAAAGGTAGAATCACTAGATCTGCCACCATCGGTAGCTAAAACAGGGGTCGGGGTTGGGACAGAATTCGCACTGGTCTGCTCTTGCAAGGGTCTAGTCATTTTACGAACTGGATTACCCAACCAGTCAGAAAGGAGGGCAGAGACAAGGCGACTAAAACTGAGCATGCTTGAGACGAAGATAAATAAAAAAAAGAAAAAAATGTATATAAAATATAAGGAATACTTTGCTATTATATATGGATAAAAAGTCGAAATATTAGATTGCTCGTACAGACGTGGTACTATACATGGATAGCAAAACTACTTACAATAAATAGAAGAAATTAAAGCTGGATTTTTGTTCTATCCTAGATCTGTTTTTCCAGTGCTAATAGCCTAAATTAGATTAAATGAATTACAGGTCTTTTGAAAAATGCCAGCGAAATAAATACAAAAAATACCAGGACGTAAATAAGGAGAACAGTTAAGTAAAGCCACTTTGGGCAATATAACAATTGGGTGCCGTTAAAACTAAAAAGGAAAATGATTCAATTTCAGCCATCGACATCGCCCAAACAACACCTTAATAATTTATTAATAATATCCAGAAAAAATCATCTTTACACATTAACATGCTAAAAAAACAAGCTAATCGTTGTAGATACACTCCCTAGTCTTAGTGGCCTGACTTATTTTTCGTATAGAAATGTGCGACAAAGAAGTTCATATCTCAAATTCACCACAAAATGACAGATTCGCCTGATTCTGTTGTTTGACGTCCCAGAGACGTCCTATTTTGGCGCCCTCAATTAGATCTATTCATATGCCATGATAAAAACATCAGAAAAAGAAATACATTCTTATACTGACTTAAAGACCTTTTGGTTTATAAAAAACTTGAAAACATTAGGAGAAGGCAGAAAAATGGTTTTCGAAGAGAACGTATTCCAACTCTGACGATGCCCGCTATAGTTAAGCTGAAAGCCAGGCATGCATTCACAGGAACCTAAGAAATTACTTGAGGAATTTGTCAATATAAACGATACAAGAAAATGAAACAAAAAAAGATCGTCGCCGTTGACGGAAATAAACCCCTCTTTTCCTTTGAAACGGAAAGTCATGCCAAAAAGTCGCATTGCTCCTAAAAGAAAAGAGTAGTCTTGTAGATGCGGACACAACGAAACGTTGTTGGGAAGACTTTGCCTAGGATGTAGACGCTGGTTAAGGAGTTACTTGAGGGATTTGTCAGTATAAACCACACAAGAAGATGAAACAAAGAAAGATCATCGCTCGTAACGATAATAGACTATAAAGCTCTAAATCACACTTAGAAATAAAAAAAAATTCAACTCAACAATTACGTTAAAAAAGTAACCGAAAAGCAATTGCTCTTCGTATATGTGATAAAAAGCCATAACATTCACCGAGAATGGAAGTCGTTTACCACCTCCCGCTCAGAATCCGCAGCCACATGTAGTTGGCTTATTCGTGGGACACGAGTCGGCAGTTGCAATGCGATCTCGGCCAGACGGGACACGAACTGCCCATTGGCAGGACAAAGGCAACCCAATTGCTCTGATGGCTGTTGCGGGAGTACTTCCAAAGCATGACGAGCTGCAATATAATGTTTTCCTAACTCAGAATGCCCAAGTGCTGCATCGGACTGGCCGGTGACGTCTCTGGATGAGGCCCAAGCAGGGTGAAGGGGGCAAGAGAGCCGCATTTCCAAATGAGACCCAGAGCAGGCCCGAGGTGATGGAGGAACAGAAGAGCTGGTTGAGGCCTTTGAACCAGAATAGCTAGTAGAAGCTGTGGTAGCTAGCCGCAGGGCGAAAGCGAAGAGAAGAAGCCAAGCGGAAAATTGAGGAGAGACGGAGTTGTGGGAAAACGAGAGATCGGCTGGCCTAAAGAAGAAAGACAGCAAAAGAAAGTTGGAAAACGATGGAAAATAAAATCAGAGTGCCACAACCCCAAAAATGGAAAGGCGGGAACGAAGTGAACGATATAAAATCGAATGAGCATAAAGAAAACATATATAAAATATATTAAAAATTATAACAATATGTAAAAAATAATATATGATAAAAAAGGAATACTTAACATAGACAAGTGACCAAGACTAAAGAAGAACCCGATTAAAGTAACTGAAAAACGCAAATCAGTTTAGAAGTCCAATGAATCGGAGACTTGACTTCGCCACAGCATCTAACATGTATAATACTGCATAAAAAAAGATTTGCAATCTAGTGTACACACTGCAATTTAATCCGGAGAGCAAGGCTTGTGGCTAAAAGTAAAAGGTGAATTCACTTGAAAATATGGAACTTCTCAGTTTATTTGGGTTATCTTCCAAGGCCGACTTCAGAATACTATGGCATCTCAGCTTTAAGAGTTCTCGATAAAGCACACTAACGGGAAAGAATAGCAGTAAGATAAAATACCTTGGATATAGAGAAAATAAACTTCAGATATCTTGCAAAAAAACAATCAGTTGTCGAAGAAAAGGACAAGGCAACACCAAAGTAATCAGCAGAAACACTACTAGATACTAGAGTAAAAATAAAAGATAGCGAGGACAGAAACAACACTATTAGCGCAGATAGCAATAACAATAGATCAGCAATACTAACTTCAACAACGATAAATACCAGAATTATTGCAGAGATAGATAACTTACCTTCAATTCATGGTGGACAGCGTTAACGACTCTCTGGAAGGGGATACTTAGGAATAGAGTACCAAATCGGCCATCTGGTTCCCCAGCCACATAGAAGTGGCCCATTAAGCAGTTAAATTTAAATTTCGTAATCATACTATATAGAAACAAGCTTTAGTTTTTATTGAGTAGAGCAGCATTATGATAGCGCGGCTCCTACATTCTGTAGGAAGAGTCGCGTGTTCCGACGCATCCACAGCCTGATGTACAACACAGACTTACCAGCTTGAGTCAGGCCAACCGAAGTATAAGGCCTCGGCGTCTGTTTTTCGATGTGAAGAATGACATCCTACATAATATTTATAGTCCTGCATACTGAGGTACCCATTGCTTTTGAAGTGCATTTGAGATCCTGAACTTGGTAATCAATTGCGAAATGTAAGACCGAAAAATTAAAGAAAGTTGCAGCAAGCGCATAGATTCATGGAAGTTCAATTTTCTCGAAAAAAGTTGTATTGACTATCTTTAGCTTCGAATGCAGTCCTGAATTATTAAAAAGCCTACTACAGAGAGCACGCGTGTGAAAAACACAATGACAGTGACATTGCGGAAGACAATGAGGATAGATGACGTTGATTTGAAGTTGGAATGATGGAAAGTCACATTGGAAATGTAAGAAGAAAAAGTGGGTTTCGAAGAGCGCCTTAGTGATATAATGTGACGTGATTCTCCATTTCGAATGAAAAGTGGGTTAGAAGGTATTTGTGATATGGTCTCATTGGAAATTGAAAAAGGATTGCCACGTAGGAAAGACTGTTGTATTGTGCGAAAAAGTCTTCGGCTCAGTCCTGCGACTCCGATGAAACTGTGCTAGGCTCTCGTCTCTACTGTGACATCACCAGAATAAGAATCCATATTTTACAAAATAGAGCAAAACTATACTAAACCAAGAGAAAAGGTGGCCGGTTACAATCATAGTCGCTTTGTATACTTCGCAATCTAAATGAGACATCTCATGATTTGATTGACTACTTCAACTCTATTCTACATGCTTACAGATGAGAGATGGTCTGCCAAAAATACATAATGAAGGTACCCCACTTAGAATTTTTGTAAATAATAGAGGTAGCGTGATGCATAATACATAAGGATTTATCTGTGGTCAGTTAAAGCGAATATCCGAAACTTGGAAGTTTCCGATAAGGAACTCTTAAGACTTCATAAAGTTATTTGATGATCAGACGATAGAAAGAGCAGATTTGACGATGAGTTTCGATGCAAAGTCTATGCACACTAACATTCTGATAAATGAAGCAACGAATGCATTATAATTAACTCTAGGTCAACATCCAGAAATAAGAATAGGTAAAAAGTTAGGCAAAGATTCAAGCATTGGGTTATACAATTTGGCAATGCATAATACATATTTAAGCTTTAATGATGAGTTATATGAGAAAACACCGGGCTTGGCTATGGGATCTAGTTTAGCCCCTATTTTAACCAATTACTACATGACTCAACTGGAAGTTCGTGTTTTTCAAGAACTCCTAGTTCGCAAGTTATTAGTTCGTTAGATGGACAATTACTTTGCTGCTTGGCAATGCGGCAAAGATGATTGAGGTGAATTCCTTGAGCTAATAAATAGAATAGATGCCAATAACAAATTTACTATAAAGTTAGAAAATGAAAATAAATTTCATTTTCTTGATGCATTAATGAGCAAAGAAGGTAATAAGTTAGGTAGAGAAGTGTATAGGAAAACCATACAAGTGGGTTACTTTCTTCTCCATCCATACATATGGAATCAATGTGGGAGCTATAAAGTCAATAATAGTGGGGAGTCAGCGTCTGGCAGACGTAAATCACACGGACCAGCGGATCGGTATATTGAGGCATATGTTGTTTCAAAACAATAACCCATTAGGATTAGAAGACAATTACATTTCAATTAACAGTAACAAGATAGGAGGAAGAGAAACTGGGTTTTGATAAATCTCCTGAGATAACATTGTTGGGGAGACTTTCATTTTGTGTGAAATTGCATGAAGAAGAGATTCGTTGGTTGATATAACCAGATGAGGACGGATGAATCCCGTTGTACAGCAGCCGTTTGGCTCTTATAGGATGTTCAGATTGACGCAGTCCACGAGACTTCCTCCCTCGTTTCAGATGAAAACGGTCTGGGCTTTCGTCCATCATATGATGGACGAAAGCTCAGACCGTTTTCACCCGAAACGAGGGAGGAAGTCTTGTGGACTGCGTCAACCTTAACATCGTATAAAAGCCAAACGGCTGCAGTGCAACGAGATGCATCCGTCTTCATCTGGTGAGATCAACAAACGAATCTCTTCTTCATGTACTTTCAGATGAAATGAAAGTCCCACCAACAAGCTAAGAGGAGTTTAATATCTGGGTCGAGATAAACAATTGGAACATTCTATTTGTTTCCTGATTTTGCCTTTGTTAGCTTGCAAAAAGGTTTGGTGATCTACTGTGGAACTGAAACATCAGAACAATGTATAAAAAGGAATTAAGACCCTTCAGTAGTCCCTTCATTTAGAGAATTCTCGGAGTCTCTCTCTAGATCAGACTGCTATAAGGCTTTGTGCTTATGTGGTAAGTTCTATGTGGGGAGACCTGCCGATTCATCTAGAAGAGACTATGCGAACAAAAAACAGCTTCTAAAGGTTTATGGGTCCAAAACTCCGCGATCGCTGAACACACGGTTAATACAGGACACTCACTATACCGGTCCAAAACACAAAGTTTTGCGGGTTACGGGGACTTCACATCAAAGCGTAAGGTAAGGGAGCCGATAGAAACTAATGAAACAGCCGACACTCTAAATAAGAGAAACGAGTGTAGAAAAATGAGTATGAACTATTTGTGGCTGTTGGATGGGCTTACGGAGAAAGAGAGGGAATGCAGGAAGAGCCCTTGAACAAGAGGAGGCTATATTAGCCTCGAGTCTAGCTTAAACTATCACACTTCCCACGGCATGAACATAACATACACACAATAGACAATAGCACAAGCCCCAAAATGAGTCAGCATTAGAGGATCGTACAATAGTTTATTTGCGTAAGGAAACAGCCGCTACCGAACACACTTCTGGTTCGTGAAGAAACTTTACTCATCTGCAAGCATGTATAATACGGCTCAAGTAGCCGACCAAAGCATGGAATGGCCTCATCAAGATCGTGAAGTTAGGTGTATAAAAAGCGATTAGGGTTGCAGCAGGTCACATTTTCTCTTGGTTTAGTATATTTTTATTCTATTTCATAAAGTATGGATCCTTGCTCTGATGATGTCTGCCACTGTGCAGGCGAAAGCCTAGCACAGTTTCATCGGGGTCGCAGGACGACGAACCGGGGACTTGTTCGTACAATAAAACAGTCTACCATACATGATAATCCTCCTTCGGTTTTCGGTGAGACCAAATCCCACATTCATTCCAACCCATTTTTCCTTCGAAATGGAAAGTCATGTCACAAAGTCTCATTGCTTCTGAAAATTAAGAGTAGTAGTACAGATGCGGACACAACGAAACGTTGTTTGAAAGAATTGGTCTAGAATGTAGACGCTGATTCAGCCCCGTCCTCCTTACGCGGAGGTAATACAGGCATAACAGATGCAAAAGAGGAAATGAATGAAATATAAGTGTGATACACACTGGAAGAAGTACGTGGATATGCGATTGGTTGACATCCAGGAGAATAGTGGCTAGGCTGGTTATACGAGGGTGAAACAGTGAGAAATCCAAGCTGTAGATGATACTAGCGTCTGAACTTACTACAGGAAGACCTCTGACGTAGGAGTGAAAATGGAGGGCAATAGCGGCATGCTAAGTGAAAATACAGCGCGTAAAGGAGGCACACAGTAACGAGAGTCGGTAACCTCAAACAAGGTAGTTAGTTTGAGAGATCGCCAAATCTGGAGTTCTTACTGATTAGAATATTTGCGTGATTTGAATATCATCTGATTAATTTAAAAGGTCCCGGTATGATAGGTCCAAATGTAGGCTCGATGTAGTGGCGAGATTTGATTAGCCGGTGGAAACAAAGAGTGTTGTTGAGCAGTGCTAACACGTAATACGCTTCAAATGAATTCAGGAATATGGCTGCGTATAAAATAAAACTAACAAT